TATATATATATATGAAGATGCGTGGGGTGTATATAGAGCTCACTGTGTGCTGCTGCTGCTGTTCTTTTTTTTGCGCGTTTGCGCGTAAAGAGTTTTATTTTTCTCTCTTTTTTTATCTTTCTTTGATGTTTGATGGTTTACTTCTCTATTTGTCTTTAAAAGACGAGGGGTTTGACCCGTTAATTCTTTATTAAAGCCCCCTGAAAGAGCAGGGAGAGGAGTAGGTTTTCTTCTAGGCGCTGTTGATGACTTTGCTGTTGCTGCTTCTGTTGCTGCTGCGGCTATTGCTGCTGCTGCTGCTGCTGCTGATGGTCGTGCTGCGGCTTTGGGCTCTTCTCTTGCTGCTGCTCCTGCAGCATTAGCAGACCCCGAATACAGCAGAGGCAGCAGCAATCTCAGTTGACGAAGCAGCCGCTGTGCTACTGACTCTTTGGGCCTCGAATCAAGTAATGCAGAAGACCTCTGATATGTAGAAGAAATAAAAGAAAAAATGCTGTCAGTGGGGGACCTCCAAAGTTGTATATGTAGGGGTGTAGGGAGATTGAAAGGATCTGTAAGCAGCTGCAGCCGCTGTTGCTGCTGCTGTAGCGGCTGCAGCTGCAGCTGCTGCTTTTTCTCCTGCCCCTCCTCCTGCTTCTGTTGCTGCTGCTGCTGCTGCTCCTCTTCCTGCTGCTGCTGCTGCTTTGGCTGGGGCATGGGAAGCATATGGGAGGCTCGCTGCGTTTGGAGGGGTTGTCCTGCATCTTCAGATGTATGTACACCGCCGAAGACGCGTTGAAGCAGCACAGCTGCAAGGAAGAAAAGAGTTATAGCCCCAACATATCTAAGGCTCTCTGCCCGCTTCTTCCCCCTGCGTACGGGTAGTTGAGGCAGGACATCATCTTGTCTATGTTGGGGTGTATATGCAGGTGCAGGAACTGCAGAAATACCATAGTCTGGCTCTGATATCTTAGTTTCTTGTACAACTGCTGCGGAGGGCAGCGGCAGCATCATAGTGGGGTCTGTATCGACTCCATGTGCGCTTTAAAACCCTATAAAAAGGTAAAATAAATAAAATAAAATAAAATAAAATAATATATTTACGCTTTTAATGAAAGAATCCGCAAGATTTCAGGAAGAAACCAACATGACAACTCACGTCGAGCGGTGCGGGTACTGCAGATAGCACTATGTAGCGGTGCATGCATCCTTCTTCTCTCAAAAAGCTTCTTCTATTCTTAAACAAATCAATTTAAATCAAATAGAAACCTGAAGAAACGGAAGAAAGCAAATGCAGAAACAAACAGAGCAAACAACGTCCATCACGGGGCCCCTCACCCGCCGCCAACCTCAGGCGGCTACCGTGCGGTGTATATACACCCCAAAGGAGTTTTTCCTAGATATTTAATTTGCATCTCCTTCCTTTTATTCTTTATTATTATTATTAATCAGGAAAACACTCAAAATGTCCCCAATTTCTTCAAACTTTACGTCGGCCTCTTCTGTGCGTCTTACATAGACGCATATTGCCGAAGAATGCAGAAAGAAACTCCTTTCAGGGCTCGCTGCAGTATACAGAAAATTAATACTCAATAAAATTAAATACTTTTAAATATATCGTTTATTTTTTAGTTTTATTAAAAGAAGAAAGCGAAGGAAGGGGCTGAGCCCCCCAATACCTGTACACCGTACACTAATATACTTCGCCTTCTGCACTAAGTTTGCTTCTTATGATTGAATTTGTTTATAAATGATATTTTTCTTTGTTTTCTTCGTCTGTATATCGGCTTACTTTAGTCAATTATATATTAATTTAATGCGTCGCCGAGGCAGCATCTACCTCGCTAAGGTTATTTAGAGGAAGCCTCTTCTAATGCATTTTCCTATTTAAGGGGTCTCATCCTCATCAGGCTGTTGTTGTTGTTGCTGCTGCTGCTGCCGCCTATGTTGCTGCTGTTTCTGTTCCCGTGGATGCTGCTGCTATTGGTGCTGCTGCTGTTGCTGCTGCTACTGCTGCTGCTGGACTATCTTACCTGGGGCGAAGCCATGCAAAGGCAAAAGCACAAAAGACCTGCTGCTGCTGCTGCTGCTGCTGCTTCTGCATGCGCTGCAGCCCCATTTGGAGTGTATTGCTAGAGCGTATAGCTAAGGTTAAAGTAAACACCTGAGGCATACTCTTCGAGCCGCGTGCAGAACAATCTAGGGTTTAGGGTATAGGGTATAGGGCCCTAAAACAGAAGTAAGAGGGCTTCGGGTTTAGGGTTTAGGGTTTAGGGAGAATGCTCTTTCTAGATGGAAATGTGAAGAAGTGACAGTCAAACAGCCAATTAGCTCCTAAGGAGCTACGCATAGCAACTAGCTAGCTGTTAGCTAGCTGTTACAGAGCTGCTAGCTAGCCGTTTGCTAGCTGTTAGCTAGCTGTTTCCTAGCTGGTAGCTGCTAGCTGACAGGTACTAGCTGCTCGCTAGCTGTTACAGAGCTGCTAGCTAGCTGCTATTGCTAGCTATTAGCTAGCTATAGCAGCTATTAGCTAGCTGTTCGCTAGCTGTTAGCTAGCCGTTAGCTAGCTGTTAGCTAGCTGCGGTTTATGTGCCAAGTGTGGCGGTGCGCAGCAGAGAACCCCGACTCCTCCTGCTGGCTCTGTTGCATGCGAAGATCTGCGCTTATAAACGGTCAGCTGCAGCAGCAGCAGCAGCTGCTGCTGCTGTTGCTGCAGCAGCTGCTGCTGCTGCTCTCGTTACCGATTTACTGCGTGGAAGCGTTTCTCAGTACTATTCAGAGAGGCCTGAAAAAGAAAAGCCGCACCAACAGCAAACAAGAACACTATTTGCTTCCACAGCCCAGCAGCAGCAGCAAAAGCAGCAGCAGCAGCAGCAACAACAGCAGCAACAACAGCAGCAGAAGGCTCACCCTCTACAATCTGGAGGGCGTCGTTGCTGTCGGTTCTGCATGCACACAGAGACAGAAAGCCAGCAGCAGCAAATATGACCCAAGGAAAACTATCAAGACCTTCAGCGCTCCAACAGCAGCAGCAACAGCAGCAGCAACAGCAGCAGCAGCAGCAAACATGCTGTGGCATCAGCAATGCATCGAGTGCAACACGAAACTCCACGGCCTAAGCGGCCTGCAGACGCATGCAGCAACAGAACTATTATCTACAGACTGCTGTTGCTGTTGCTGCTGCTGCTGCTGCTGCTTGTTGCTGCTGCTGCTTGTTGTTGCTGCTGCTGCTGCTGCTTCGGGTCTCTCAGAGGACTCACAGACAACCATGAGTTTGCACAAGAAAGACAGACAGACAAAGAGACGAAAGATAAAATAAAAGAGCGAAGAAGTACTCACAGTATAATGCGCCAGTCGCCGTGGAGCCCTTCTCTGCACCGTGCTGCAGCAACAGCTGCTGCTGCTGCTGTTGCTGCTGCTGTTGCTGTTGCTGCTGCACAACGGCTGAGCTGCTGCCTGGGCTGGAGCAGGGCCCCGTGACGGTTTGCTGCAGCTCTTTGAGGTGTACAGACACCGCATGCTGCAGCTTCCGCTTCCGGCGCCTCTTGAGGGCTTCCATCCACCTGCAGCAGCAGCAGCAAATGCAGCAGCAGCACATGCAGCAGCAGCACATGCAAAAAGAGATATATAAACAGAGATAAGAAGAAGACAAACAGAAGACAGAGGCAGAGACAGAGAGATGCATGCATACAAACAATAAAAATAATTATTACTTCATTTCTTATTACACCAATCAGCAGCGAACAACAGCAAATGATACTAAAATAAAATAATAAAATAATAATAATAATAAAATAATAATAATAATAAAATAATAATAATAATAATAAAATATAAATAATAATATAATAATAATATTATATATTATTATATCCAGAACAACGTACAGCTGCTGCTGCTCTGTGTCAGTGCTGAACAAGACGCAGTCGTTGAGCCCATCGAAGTTAACCCAAGAGCAGTCGCCATCGTCATAAGCTACTAAGTACCGATCTCCTATATATAAACTCCTGCTGCTGCTGCTGCTGCTGCTGCTGCTGCTGTTGGTGGTGGTGGTGGTGCTGCTGCTGCTGCTGCTGTTGGTGGTGGTGTTGTTGCTTTTGTTGCTGTTGCTGCTGTTGCTCTTGCTGTTGCTGCTGGTGGTGTTGTTGCTGTTGCTGCGTTTGCTGCTGCTGCTGCTGCTGCTGCTGCTGCTGCTGCTATCACAGAAGACAATAAGGCCTCCATACCAGACAGCCATATAAGGCGAGTAAAGAGCAACGCGGCGCCCTATTGCTGCAACCCCCTGCAGCAAGAGACAGCAGCAGCAAGCATAAACAGCAGACAGTAAAGAGACAGCAGCAGCAGCAGCAGCAGCAAACAGCAGAGATAGCAAGAAAACAGCAGCAGCAAACAGCAGAGAGAGAGACAAGAGACAGCTTTTGCTTTATCTGTCTCTCTTTGCTGTCTCCTTTATTTTGTCTGTCTCCTTTCTGCTGTCTCTCTTTTATTATATTTCTTTTGTTTGTTCTTTATTATTTTGCTTTTGCTGTCTCCTCACTCTTCTTATAGTGCCTCGCCAGTCAGCAGGGGGTAAGGTTTTCGCAGCAACAGCAGCAGCAAGCCATTTGCTGCTGCTCGCATGCAGCAGCTGCTGCAGCACCGCCACTCCAGCAGCGCATGCAGCGGAATGTGCTGCTTCCGTTGTTGCTGCTGTTGCTGTTGCTGCTGCTGCTCCTGCAGCTGCTGCTGCTGCGCGCAGCGCCGGGATGACGAAGCCTCCCCACAGCTGCAGCTGCTGCGCCGCCAGATCTCGTGCAGCAGCAGCAGCAGCAGCAGCAGCAGATGAAGTGTCTCCTTGTTGCAGCAGCTGCGGTGTCTGTGCCGACGCTGCAGCAGCAGGCAGGACCTGGCCTCCACAGCCATTGCTGATGCCGCCTGCTTTGCTGCTGCTGCTGCTGCTGCTGCTGCTGATTGCAGCAACGAAGGAGCACCAGCAAGTGTATCTGCAGTTCATTGCAGCAGCAAACAACTCGTGCAGCAGCACTTCGCTGGAAGTGTCTCTCATCAAAGGAGACAGCAGCGGGTGTAGGTGAGAGAGCTCCACCACATAGCTGCTGTCATCGTCTAGGGGCAACGCTGCTGCTGTTGCTGCTGCTGCTGCTGTTGCTGTTGCCGCTGTTGCTGCTGCTGCTGCTGCTGTTGCTGCTGCTGCTGCCGATCCAGGTGCTGCTGCAGCCCCCTTCACGCGATATGCCCCAGGAAGCTCTGCTGCAGCAGCAGCAGCGTCCTGGTACAGCATCTGCTGTTGCTGTTGCTGCTGCGGCTGCTGCTGCTGCACCAAGAACAGCCGCAGCTGCTGCAGAGCCTTCAGAGCTGCTGCCCCAACGAGATAGCGCCGGACAGCTTCTGGGCAAGCAGCAACAGAGTCCTCATCTGCTGCTGCTGCAGTTGCAGCTATTGCTGCTGTTGCTTCCGCTGCTGTCGGGCCTGTAGCTGTCTGCTTCCAGCAGCTGCAAAGCACTCCGTGCTGCTGCTGCTGCTGCTGCTGTTCCATAGCATCCGCAGCAGCCTGGTGACTGTTCAGCAGCGGCAGCAGTTCGCCCTCTTCGGCTGGCTCTTCCTTTGCTGCTGCTGCTGCTGCTGCTGCTGCTGCTTCTCCTTTGGGGGCCCCACAAACAAAGAGAGACAAATATTTTTGTTTCACGGCATTGTCGTCTGCTGCATCGTCTAAGAAGAGACCCTCAGCAACTCCAAAGTCATCTTCCCCCCCTTCGTAGTTGCTGCTGCTGCTGCTGCTGCTGCTGCTGCTGTTGCTGTTGCTGTTGCTAGAGGGCGTCGTAGCCCTTCGTGCATTCTTGGTTGCAGCAGCCGTTGAGGCTCCTGCTTCTGTTGATGCTGCTGCTGCTGCTGCTTCTGTTGCTGCTCCCGCTGCTGGGCTGCTGTCAGTACCCGGAGAAGCAGCAGCAGCAGCAGCAGGGGCAGAAAGGATCGCCTCCCAGGTTTGCTGTTCTGCTGCTGCTAGCGCCAAGGCCTGCCGGCGAGCTGCAGCAGTACCCGAAGCAAGAAGACGCAGCAGTGTCTCCTTCAGAGACCCTCCTTGCTGCTGCTGCTTCTGCTGCTGCTGCTGCTGCAACTTCTGCTGCACCAGCTGCTGCAGCTGCTCCTCTGAGAGGTCAGTGCATCGGAAGCCTGTCTCTCTATGCACAACAGCAGTTTCGCTGCTGCTGCTCTCTGTCCCTCCATCTACAAGCATGGGCTGCTGCTGCTGCTGCTGCTGCTGTTGCTGCTGCTGCTTCGAGGAGACACCAAAGCCGTCTGCTGGATTGAGAGGAAATGCAGCAGCAAGACTCTTTCGCCGCTGCTGTATGTACAGCCTCTTGCTGCTCTCTCGTTCAGACACAGCTCCAACCAGCATGCGAGACTGCAGCAGCAACACCACAGCAGCAGCAGCAGCAGCAGCAGCAGCAGCAGCAACAGCAGCAGTAAGAGTTAATTTAAGATACGTGTCCCATGAAGTGCACTGACAGCCAACGGAGATCGAATGCTACTCCTCACGCAAAAGAGCTGCTGCTGCTGCTGTTGCTCCTGCTGCTGCTGCCGTCACTAATGTTGCTGCTGCTGCTGCTGCTGCTGCTGCTGCTGCTGCTGCAGTCTATAGACTTACGAGCTCCAAAAAGGAGCGAAGGCGCAGCAGCAGCCGGACGCTGTGGGCGATTTGATTGCGCGTTTGCGAATGCTGTAGCAACACCAGCAGCAGCAGCAGCAGCAGCAAAGCGCAGCAGCAGCAGCAGCAGCAGCAGCAGCAAAGGACAGCAACTGGATGTGTATGCAAACACCACAAGTCTGCTGCACTGGGCAGCATAGAAGAGGCGATTACTGCAGTTCTAACCCTCAAACCCCAAACCCTAAACCCTAAACCCTAAACCCTAGATATCTTAACCCTTAAATGCTGCCCCACTACTCCGCCCGCTGCTCCTAAACCCTAAACCCTAAACCCTAACCCCTAGCTTGCCTCTAGACAGAAAACAGCAGCAGTAAATGCTGAGGGGTTTAAGGGGGCCTCAGCCATCTCCATAAAGCAGCCCCGCAGCAACGCGCATAGTGCATGCAGCTGCAGCAGACACCCCGAGGCGCAGCAGCGCAGCAGCAACCCAGAAGACAAACCGCAGATAGAACAGCCTCGGCGAACGCCAACAGCAACACAAGAAACCTGCTGCTGCTGCTGCTGCTGCTGCTGCTGCTCAGGCTGCTGATGCTGCTGCTGCTCCTCCTGCTGCTGATGCTGCTGCTGCGCCTGCGGAGACGGCGGTTGCTGCTGCTGCTGCTGCTGCTGCTGCAGGTGCTGAGGCGATGGGTGCAACGCAGACTCCAACCCAGCAGCAGCCCCCGGAACACCCGGCTGCTGCTGCTGCTGCTGCTGCTGCTGCAGCTGTTGCGGCTGCAGTGTTTGCTGTTGAGGCGTTCCTGCGTCTTCCCTGCTGCTGCTGCTGCTGCTGCTGCTGCTGGTGCTGGTGCTGGTGCTGCTGCTGCTTGTGCATGCAGTCTGCTGCAGCTGTCGCTGCAGCGCAGCATCAACGCCGACAATAGGTGAGAGACTATCTGTCTCTGCTGCCTCAACTCCGGGGGTCCAGAGAGCACACACCATATGAACGAACTGCAGCGGAGTCTCTTTGCTGTTGCGCACTGCAGCAGCAACTGCAGCAGCAACTGCAGCAGCAGGAGCAGCAGCAAGACTCTCAGCAGTAAAACCCGAGCAGCCGCGAAGCGACAGCTTTAATGCACCCCCTCGGCGAGGGCACACAGCACATCGAACCTGAGAAAGAAGAAAAAATAAATAAATAATAAATAAATAAATAAATAAATAAATAAATAAATAAATAAATAAATAATAAACAAACACAAAAAAGTAATACACTCACAAGGAAAAAGAATAAATAAATAAATAAATCAGAGAGGGGGATATAAACAAACAAAACAAATATATATATATATATATTATATAGATATATTATACCACATTATATTATATATATTATATATATATAAGTTTATATATATATATATATATGTATATATATCTATATATGTATATATGCAGGACGAAGAGATACAAGAGACAACACTCAGAGACAAACGAACAAAGACAGACAGAAAAAAAAGCAGAAGCAGAGAGACAGAGACAGAGAGAAGAGAGAGAGACAGAAAAGAGACAGACAGACAGAGACAGAGACAGAGACAGAGACAGACGAAGAGAGAAGAGAGAGAGACAGACAGAGAGAAGAGAGACAGAGACAGAGAGGAGAGAAGAGAGAGAGAGACAGAGACAAACAAAGACAGAGAGAAGGGACAGACAAAGACAGAGAGACAGAGACAGAGACAGAGACAGAGACAGAGAGAAGAGAGAAGACAGAGACAGAGAGAGACAGAGAGACAGAAAGAGAGAGAAGACAGAGAGAGAGAGAGAGAGAAAGAGACAGAAGAAGAGAGACAGCGGTATGCTGCAGCACAAACAAAAACATAGATTGAAGTAAACAGCAGCAAAGACGGGGAGAAGCAAACAGACAGCACATATAAATATAAAATGTATAATAAAACAATATTATAACGAGATACATATTATAATAGTATTATAATAATATATAATAATATTATAATAATATAAAGCATAAAGAAGAGACAAACAAACACCGAAACAGCATCAACCCACCTCCTCTCTGTCAGGTGCATAGCGGCAAGGCTCGCAGAGAAAAGGTACAGGCACGTAGGGCTCGCTGCTGCTGCTGCTGCTGCTGCTGCTGCTGCTGCTGCTGGGGTCTCCTGCTGCTGCTGGTGCTGCTGCGACTTCCGAATGAAGCCGCTTCGCCCCTCGGGAGATAGCTGCAGGCGTTGCAGGGGTGCTGCTGTTGCTGCTGCTGCTGCACGTGCTGCTGCTGCTGCTGTCTCGCCCGTCAGCAGAGGCGCCGGCTGTTCTAACGCTGCTGCTGCTGCTGCTGCTGCTGGCTGTATCTTGCATGCCAGAGTTCTGTTTCAGCCGCTTCAAGGAGCTGCCGCCCGCCTCGTACTGCTGCTGCTGCTGCTGCTGCTGCTGCTGCTGCAGGTCTGGGCGCAGCGCAGCAGGGAGACACTCCAGCGGGACACCGTAGCACATGCGGTGTACAGTCAGCCCACACCGCGCGCAGTAGAAGAAGGGGTTGCTGCTGCTAGCAGTTAGCTTCGGCAGCAAACAAACAGCGCAGCAATGGTCTTGATAGAAATCGATCTCCTCCAGCACTGTCTTCTCTGCACCATCATCTGCTGCTGCTGCTGCTGCTGCTGGTGTGCCTGGGGTCTCTCCCGCCTTTAACCCTGCTGCTGCTGCTGCTGCTGTTGCTGCTGCTGCTGCTGCTGCTCCCTCTGTGGGTGTGCCTCTACCCCCACCTGCCGCTGGCCCTTGTGCTGCAACAGGCGTTTGCGCTGCAGTGCTGCTTCCAGCTGCATGCGGCGTAGCAGCAGCAGCAGCAGCAGCTGCTGCTGCTGCTGCAGCTGCTGCTGCTGATCGGCGGGTTGATGTTGCTGTAGAAGCAGAAGTAGCAGCCGGCAATGGGGTAGCAGCATTTGCTGCAGAGTGTGCTTTGGAGGGTGTATGAGGCGTGTTGCTGCTGCTGCTGGGTATCCCAGTCACAGCAGCAGCAGCAGCAGCAGCTGCTGCTGCTGCTGCAGCTGTGCTGCGGCGAGCTGCTGCTGCTGCTGCTGCTGCAGGCAAAGCTCTCTTTAAAAAGAATGCCCCCTTCCTTTCGCTTAGAGCATACAGCTCAGGGTAGTGGTCGCGGGTTACGTAGCGCCGAGAGCGCAGCACTGCTTGCAAGGCGCAGCTCCTCCTGTTCACAAACCCTAAACCCTAAACCCTAAACCCTAAACCCTAAACCCTAAACCCTAAGACAGGAGGGAGCAGAAGAAAAGCGAAAAGGGTTTACAACAAAGGGTTTATAAAAGATTTTAATAAGGGTTTAGGGTTAAGGGTTTTAGGATATATATATATATATACATCTATATATAGATGCATACATATATATATATATATATGCATATATATACATATACATATCCCGTTGTCGTCTGGAATGAGCGTACCCCTTAGGGTTTAGGGTTTAGGGTTTAGGGTTTAGGGTTTAGGGTTTAGGGTTTAGGGTTTGGGGTTTACCTGACGCCAGGGGTTTCTGGTGTATGTTTAAAGCAGAAAACAGAAACTTGAAGACGAGGAAAGCAGTGATCAGGGGCCCCTTTGAAGGGCATGAAGAGACCAGGTGCAGCAGCAGCAGAGCAGCAAAGCCCGCTAAGCCAAGCACACATAGGATGAAAGCTGTCTGTACACCCCAGATGACAGCAGCGTATACATACACCTCCTTTGACCCCACACAAGCTGCAGCAAGCAGCAAGACGCCACTGCTTAATATCTTTTAATTCCCAGGGTTCTAATCGCTGCAGATCGCAGCATATTATCTCAGGCAGCAAGAACAAGCAGCAAAACACGTGCACCCAGCAGCCGTTCTCGACAGTAGGCTTCAGCGCCCCGCCCCCTCGGCAGCAAATCTGCATGCACAAATATTTATATATACACACAGCCAAACAGCAGCACCACTATGAGATGCAGCACCAACAGCAGCATAATCAGCAGCATAGTCAGCAGCAGCAGCATTATAATCAGCAGCAGCATAATGATCAGCAGCAGCAGCATAATAATCAGCAGCAGCAGCATAATCAGCAGCAGCAGCAGAATGATCAGCAGCAGCGTAATGATCAGCAGCAGGATGATGATCAGCAGCAGCAGCATAATAAAGAGCAGGAGCAGCAGCAGCAGAATGATCAGCAGCAGGATGACGATAAGCAGCAGCAGCATAATAAAGAGCAGGAGCAGCATCTGAGTACCTGGCACTTGATATCCATGGGTTTGAAGAGAGCTAGCCACTGGGTTCCGAGTGTACGTCGATCTTTCTCGCACCTTCTGCAGACCCAGTCGTCGCCTTCGGGTGTCTCACCAACTCTGCCGATCCCGTAGCAATGCTTGTGCGAGCAGAACAAACAACGAATGCACGAGTACAAAGGGTTTAATGCTGACCCCTCGCCCTGCCAGCACACGCAGCAGCAAACAAACTCTAAACCCACGCCCACGCCCCCCCACCCTACAGACAGCAAAAAACTGCTGCTGTTGTTGTTGCTGCTGTTGCTGCTGCTGCTCATGATGGTCGTAGTGGTCGTTGTGGTGCTGACGACGCCGGGGGTGGGGATAGGGGTGCTCCGCATCAGGCTGCTGCTGCTGCTGCTGCTGCTCGTTATGCTGCTGGTTATGCTGCTGGTTATACTGCTGCTGCTGCTACTGCTGCTAGGCAACGCCAATGCCCTGCTGCTAACGCGAGGAGACTCAGACGAACCGCCGGCCTCAGGACCCTTTGCTGCTGCTGCTGCTGTTGCTGTTGCTGCTGCTGCTGTTGGCGTTTCAGCAGCAGCACGAGAACTGCTCCGCTGCTGCCGCTCCGTGGGGCTTGAGCAGCTGCCCATACACCCGACAAACAAAACAAACAAAACACAAAAATATCAAACAACGGCAACACAGCAGCACCAAAGACAACTCCAGCAACAACAGCAGCAGCAACAACAACAACGGCAGCAGCAGCAACAGCAATAGCAGCAACAACAGCAATAGCAGCACCAGTAACAACAAAAGCACAATAAGCAGCAACAGCAACAGCAGCACCAGCAGCAACAGAAGCAGCAGCATGCAGCAGACATCAATACCCACTTGCGTTTTGCTGCTCCTGCTGCTGCAGACTCTGCGTTAGCTCGCGGTGTATGTATACTGCGAAGAAGGCCGGTAAGCGGGGGTCTTGGAGAGACAGCTGAAGTCTCTAGCGGCAGCGTAGCTTCCTGCTGCTCATACAGCCGAAGTGCTGCTGCCGCTGCAGCGCCTGGGTCCGCAGCAGCAGCAGCAGCGGCTGCTGCTGCTGCTGCTGCTTCTGCTGCTTCCGCAACGTCGCTCACTGGGGGACCCTCCTCTACCGCTGGCTCAGGCTCAGGGTTTAGCAGCTGACGCTGCTGCTGCAGCTGCTTCATTTGCTGCTCTGGGTCTCCTGCTGCACCTTGCTTCCTTCCTGCTGCTGCAGCAAGGCGTTCCGCTACAGCCTGCAGAGCTTCAGGTGTCTCCTTCTGAATGCTGCTGCTGCTGCAGTTGCGGTCCCTTCTGCTGCTGCTGCTGCTGCTGCTGCTGCTGCTGGAGTCTCTTCTTCCGTGTGCATTGTGTGCGTATGCAGCAAAAGTATGTGTAGTAGCTTGTCTTCCCTGTCCCTGCTGTTTCATGAGCATCCCCTGCTGCAGCATCTGCTGCTGCTGCTGCTGCTGCTGCTGTTGCTGCTGCTGAGGAGTAGGTAAGAAAGGGGGCAGCGGCAGATCTCTTAAGCCTAAGCAAAAGTTTGTTCTTAGCTGAGACCAGCGCTCCATAGACCCGTATCTTTCTATCAGCTCGTTTAATATATCATATCTCTCAGCTAATCGCAGCGCTGTTTGATTCTCTTCAAGGATGTTCCGCAGCAAAGCCCCCTTATACACTGACAAGTCCCGGGACAGTACCCTGCTCACCTGCATGCATCCGCAGCACATATATATATATATATATATGCTTACAATTATATTTGTTTGTTTATTTATTTATTTATCTTGTTGTTTCGTTATTTATTTATCTATTTATTTAGACAGACAGACAGACAAACAGACAGAGAGGGAGAGGGCTTCATTCTGTACAGAATGATAATACAAGATGTTATATATAAGTAAATATATATATATATATTTATACATATATATTTATATTATAAACTTTCTTACATATATGTATACATATATGCATAATATATACAACATAACATAACATATATATAATATATAATATATAATATATAATATATAATATATAATATATAATATATAATATATAATATATAACATAAAAAACTGTACAAATAAATTTAATAAAAGAAGAGTTCGTAAGGAAATACGAGGAGCTGCGCATACACCCGAAACTAACCTGCAGGAACTGCATGCACTGCGCCCCTACGAAATCTTCTGTCTCTTTGCTGTCTCCTGCAGAGCCCCAATACCAACGGTGGCCAGCCACCTCCACTAAAGAAGCAGCACCCCCGCTGCTGCTGCTGCTGCTGCTGCTGCTGCTGCTGTTGCTGGGATGTGCTGCTGGAGCAGCCGCACGCACTCCTGTTGCTGCGACAGGCGAGAGAGAAGGACAGACAGCACCTGATGCTGCTGCTGTTGCTGCTGCTGGAGCTGCGTCATTGCTGCAGCTGCTGCCCGCAGATTCTTGCGATGCAGGCTGCTGCTGCTTTTGTCGCTGCTCCTGCTGCTGCTGCTGCTGCTGCTGCTGCTTTTCTGTTTTGGGGGCCTCCCCGTCTACTTGCATGTCTTTGCTCTCTGCTTTAGAAGAAGCCCCCGCCTCCCTGTTCTTTGCTGTTGCTTCAGCCGTTGTTGCTGCTGCTGCTGCTGCATCCTCTGCTGCTGCTGCTGCTGCTGCTGCTGGTGTTGCAGGAGGGCCTTCGAGGGAGCATACTTTTTTGTGCGTTGTTTCTGCTTCTGCTGCAGGGTTACTGGCATTGGCAGCTGCTTCGTGCTGCTGCTGCTGCTGCTGCTGCTGCTGCAGCTGCTGCTCCAGCAGCGCCTTAAGGTTGGGGGCCCTCCCGTCTTCTGTTAGCTGCACCCGCTGCAAGTGTCTCCTGCAGAAAGCCAGTTGATAAGAAGAGAGAAGTTTGAAGGCTCTGATGCTTAGCTGTGAGGCGAGGGCTTCGTATTTGCTGCTGCGCGAGCTGCTGTCTTCTTCTTCGGGTGTTGCTGCTGCTGCTGCTGCAGCTGCTGCAGCAGCAACTGCAGCACCTCCTGCTGCACCGCACTCCCCCTTCTGCTGAGCCAGAGCTGGAGCCACTACCTTACGCAGATATTCTCTTATTGCTGCATCGTCTAGCACGAAGCTTCCGTTGCTGCCGTCCCCGCTGCTGCTGCTGCTGCTGCTGCTGCTGCTGCGTGCAGAGGTCCTGCCGCTGCTGCATAGACAGTCTAGCAGCTGAGCTGCACGCTCTGCTCCCCCTCTTGCGTCTTCTTTAAACTCAAAGCAGCACCAAGCAGCAACAGAACCAAAGTCAATAAGTGCTGTTATTGGCATGCTTAAGTCCTTGCTGCTGCTGCTGCTGCTGCTGCTGCTGCTGTTGCTGTTGCTGCTGCTGCTGGTTAGTTTCTTTGCTGCGGCCTTCTGGCGCGCCTCTTGAAGCAGCTGCGCATGCAAATCGAGGAGCTGCTGCAGAACCTTGAGGTCTTCTTCTGCTGGCAGCAGCAGATCAGCAGCAGCAGGGCAGCAAGCTGGCTGCAGCAGAGTTTCTTCAATTGCTTTTGCTTCCTGCAGCGCTTGCTGACGCTCTGACCCTTCTTTAAATGTACGAGAGACCTCAGCAGCAAAGGGCCCCAGAGGCACGCGACGAAAGAGCCCATCGAAGCGGCTCCACTGAACGCGGCTCCCCCTGCTGCTGCTGCTGCTGCTGCTGCTGCTGCTGCTGCTGCTGCTGGTACTGCTGCTGGTGCTCGGAGACTTCTTCGCAGTACTGCTGCAGGGGCCTTTAGCAGTGTCTCGTCCTCCGGCAGCACCTGCTGCTGCTGCTGGCTTTGATCCACCGGGAAGGTCCGCTGCTGCTGCTGCACCTGCTGCTGCAGCAGATGGCTCTCCTGCTGCTCCTTCAGAACCTTGACAGAAAGATTTGCTTCCTCGCTGATGTGATGTTGCTGCTGCTGCAGACTGACGGCCCCGGGCCCTTAAGCCTCGCGTTGCTCCCCCGCTGCTTCCTGCTGCACTACCTTCTGCTGCTGCTGGAGTTCCTGCTGCTGCTGCTCCTGGAGTTCCTGCTGCTGCTGCTGATGGTGGAGTTCCTGCTGCTGCTGCTGCTGGTATTCCTGTCGGCACTGCAGCAACTGCAGGAGGACCTGCTGCTGCTGCTGCTCCTGCTGCTACAGGCTGCGGAGACAGAGCCGGAAGCAGCGGCGGCCCTGTGGGGTTCATTAGGAGGGAAGCAGCAGACGGTGCAGCAGCAGCTGCTGCTGCTGCTGCGTACAGCGGCCCTGTTGCGAAGGGGCGAGCGGCAGCAGCAGCAGCAGCAGGGTAGGGTGTGGG